ACTGCTCTCTGTACCCTGAGCTGTATATGACATACTCCTGACCACTGCTCTCTGTACCCTGGGGTGTATATGATATACTCCTGACCACTACACCCTGTATCCTGGGTTCTATATGATAAACTCCTGGCCACCACACTCAATATGCTGAACTGTATATGCCATGTTCCTGACCACTGCACTCTGTATATTGGGCTGTATATAACATACTCCTGACCCCTGCACTCTGTACCCTGGGCTGTATATGACATACTCCTGACCCCTGCACTCTGTACCCTGGGCTGTATATGATTTACTCCTGACCCCTGCACTCTGTACCCTGGGCTGTATATGATATACTCCTGACCCCTGCACTCTGTACCCTGGGCTGTATATGATTTACTCTGTACCCCCTGGGCTGTATATGATATACTCCTGACCCCTGCACTCTGTACCCTGGGCTGTATATGATATACTCCTGACCCCTGCACTCTGTAACCTGGGCTGTATATGATATACTCCTGACCACTGCACTCTGTACCCTGGGCTGTATATGACATACTCCTGACCACCGCACTCTGTACACTGGGCTGTATGTGACATACACGTGACCACAGCACTCTGTACCCTGGGCTGTATATGACATACTCCTGACCACTACACTCTGTACCCTGGGCTGTATATGACATACTCCTGACCACTGCACTCTGTACCCTGGGCTGTATATGATATACCCCTGACCACTACACTCTGTACCCTGGGCTCTATATGACATACTCCTGACCACTGCTCTCTGTACCCTGGGCTGTATATAATATACTCATGACCACCGCACTCTGGGCTGTATATTATATACTCCTGACCACCGCACTTTGTACCCTGGGCTGTATATGACATCCACAGCACTCCAAACTATTATTCCCAGTGAACTCTAAATTGATGACCTGTAGAGTCTTCTAAAGCGTCACCTGTGACCGATGTTTGGATACAGAAGATTGTCGTCATTCAGCCAGCACAGACACATCTTTTTTTTGTTCAATCGTTTTTGTAATTAAACTTTTAACAAGAGATTAGTGAAGGTGGAAATCTGATTGGTCAGGAAATGTCTTCGTTAGAACAATGCACAGAACCCGCGCTTACTGCCAAACCTAGAACGTCACAAAGAGCAGTCTGTGACAGCAGCGCCATCTTTGTGAAGGGTCACACCGCACCCAACGAAGACGGGTCCCACCGCACCCAACGAAGACGGGTCCCACAGCACCCAACGAAAACGGGTCCCACCGCACCCAACGAAGACGGGTCCCACCGCACCCCGCAACGAAGACGGGTCCCACCGCACCCAACGAAGACGGGTCCCACAGCACCCAACGAAGACGGGTCCCACCGCACCCAACGAAGACGGGTCCCACCGCACCCAACGAAGACGGGACCCACCGCACGCAACGAAGACGGGTCCCACCGCACCCAACGAAGACGGGTCCCACCGCACCCAACGAAGACGGGTCCCACCGCACCCAACGAAGACGGGTCCCACAGCACCCAACGAAGACGGGTCCCACCGCACCCAACGAAGACGGGTCCCACCGCACCCAACGAAGACGGGTCCCACCCGCACCCAACGAAGACGGGTCCCACCGCACCCAACGAAGACGGGTCCCACCGCACCCAACGAAGACGGGTCCCACCGCACCCAACGAAGACGGGTCCCACCGCACCCAACGAAGACGGGTCCCACCGCACCCAACGAAGACGGGTCCCACCGCACCCAACGAAGACGGGTCCCACCGCACCCAACGAAGACGGGTCCCACCGCACCCAACGAAGACGGGTCCCACCGCACCCAACGAAGACGGGTCCCACCGCACCCAACGAAGACGGGTCCCACCGCACCCAACGAAGACGGGTCCCACCGCACCCAACGAAGACGGGTCCCACCGCACCCAACGAGGACGGGTCCCACCGCACCCAACGAAGACGGGTCCCACTGCAACCCTACAGAACATCCCATTGTCTTCATCATTCAACAGATTTCATAAAACACGGACCTCTGAGTGCTTGACGAATCTCCCGCCACAAAATGTACTCAGCCAATGACAGGTCAGGACGCCATTTTTATTCTTCTCCTGCTATCAATGGCCAACATGGTCCAACCAGGCATAGGGCACACCGGGCATTTTCCCAGTGGATCGGGGCTGCCTAGATAGGAGGGGTGGCCGGGCGGCACATAGAGGAACCGGACCGTGCACTTCTCTCCTGCCGCCACTGAATGCCACTTCTCCTCCTCTCCTTCCTGAAGGTATTCAGTGCCGCCTGGGCTTCACATCTCCTGCTGCCCTGGGCTCCTGCATGCCCCCCCAACAACCAGCTCCCCCCCCCCTCATCTCCTGCAGCCCTGGGCTCCTGTATGCCTCCCCAACAGCCAGCTCCCCTCACCTCCTGCAGTACTGCTGCCAGGTTCCCCCCCCCTCCCTGCAGCTGCTGGGGAGCGTGAGAGGAGAGAGAAAGCCGGTTCTGCCCCTCCCTCCTGTGTCTGCCCCCACCGCCCATACTACCCAGAAAGTCTTGTATCTTCTCTCCCCTTCTCTCTCTCTCTGCTTTCTCTCCCTCTCTACTTTCTTTCTCCTCTTTCTTATTTCTCCTTCATCTCTCTCCCTCTCTTCCTTTTTTTTTCTTTCCTTATTTCTTTCTCTAGATCTTTTGCTTTCTGCCTCTCCTTTCTCTCTCTCTCTTTTCTCTTTCTTATCTCTCTTCCTTCTTTCTCTCTCTCTCTTCTCTCTCTTTCTTATCTCTCTTCTTCCTCTCTCCTTTTTCTCTCTCTCCCCCTTTCTCCCCCCCCCTCTCTTTCTCTTCTTATCTTTACCTTCTCTCTTCTTTATCTCTCTCTCTCTCCTCTCTCTCCCTCTTCCTTTTTTTCTTTCCTTATTCCTTTCTCTAGATCTTTTTATGTCTCTCCTTTCTCTCTCTCTCCATTGTCTCACTCTTCTTTCTCTCTCCTTTCTTATCTCTCTCTTTTTCTTTCTCTCTCTCTTCGTTCTCTCTCCTTTCTCTTTCTTCTTCCTCTCTCTCTTCTTTATCTCTCTCTTTCTTTTCTCTCTCCTTTTTCTCTTTCTTACCTCTCTCTCTTCTTTCTCTTCATTATCTTTCTCTATCTCCTTTATCTCTCTCCGTCTCTTCTTTTTTTTTTTTCTTCTTTCCTTATTTCTTTCTCTAGATCTTTTTCTTCTCTCTCTCTCTCTCTCTTTCTTATCTCTCTCCTTCTTTCTCTCTCTCTCTTTCTTTTCTCTTCTCTCTCTTCCTCTCTCTCTTTTTTCTCTCTCCCCTTTCCCCCCCCCCTCTTCTTCTCTTCTTATCTTTACCTATCTCTCTTCTTTATCTCTCTCTCTCTCTTCCTTTTTTTCTTTCTTTCTTTCTCTAGATCTTTTTATTTAATCTCTCTCTCTTTCTCTCTCTCTCCATTGTCTCACTCTTCTTTCTCTCTCTATTATCTCTTCTCTTTTCTTTCTCTCTCTCTTCGTTCTCTCTCCTTTTCTCTTTCTTACCTCTCTCTCTTCTTTATCTCTCTCTCTTTTTTCTCTCTTTCTCTTTCTTACCTCTCTCTTCTTTCTTTATCTCTCTTTCTCTATCTCCTTTATCTCTCTCCCTCTCTTCCTTTTTTCTTTCCTTATTTCTGTCTCTAGATCTTTTTTTTTCTTTCTGTCTCTTCTTTCTCTCTCTCTCTCTCTCCTTCTTTCTCTCTTGCTCTACTTTATCTCTCTCTTCTTTCTTTCTCTCTCTCCCATTCTCTTACTCGCTCCCTTTTTTTCTTTCCTTATTTCTTTCTCTAGATCTTTTTCTCTGTCTCTCCTTTCTCTCTATCTTTCTCTCTCTCTCTCTCTCTCTTCTTTCTTCTCTTCATCTATCTCTCTCTCTCTCTCCCTCTATCCTTTCCTCTCTTCTTTCTTTCTCCTCTCTCTTCTTTACTCTCTCTCTCTCTCTCTTCTTTCTAGTTATCTATCTCCTTTATCTCTCTCCCTCTCCCTCTCCTTTTTTCTTTCCTTATTTCTTTCTCTAGATCTTTTTCTTTCTGTCTCTTCTTTCTCTCTCTCTCTCTCGATCTTTTTTTCTCTCTTCTTTCTCTCTCTCCTCTCTCTCTCCTTTCTCTGTTCTCTCTCTCTCTCTGGCTCTTTTTATCTCTCTCTTCTTTCTCTCTCTCTCTCTCTCTTCATTTCTCTTCTCTCTCTCTCCCTTTTTTTTCTTTCCTTATTTCTTTCTCTAGATCTTTTCACTCTCTTCTTTCTCTCTCGCTCTCTTCATTCTCTGCCTCTCTCTCTTCTTTATCTCTCTCCCTCTCTTCCTTTTTTCTTTCCTTCTTTCTATCTCTAGATCTTTTTTTCTTTCTGTCTCTTCTTTCTCTCTCTCTCCCCCCCCTTTCGCTCTCTGTCTCCTCTTTCTTTTTCACTTTCACCTGTTTCCTCTTTCTTTCTTGCCGTCTCTTCGCTTTATCTCTCTCCTCTTTTTTCCTCTCTTCATTTTCTCTCTCCCTCCTTCCTTTCTTTCTCACCAAAGCCCCCCATTGGGGCTCCTACAAAAATTTTTTTTTAAAAAATATTAAATTGTAAAAAATAAAATAAAACCTACTGACACTAGTGGTGGAACTACCGGGGTTGCAAAGGTCACTCTTGCGACCAGACCTTGACGTTCTACCACCAAACTCCGAGGAAAGGGTCCCCGGGCTAGGGGCTGCTCAATCCAAAATGCCCGGGCATATTTTTTGTCCCAGTCCAGGCCTGGGTCCCACACTTCATCCACGTCTTTGGTGACCTCCGATCTCTTTATGAACTGTTTCTTCCATGATGAAGATCAGCCATGGAGTATATCTGAGGTGTATATCAGGGGGTGCTTCTTCCCCACATGTGAGCTGGGATGTCCAGCAACATTCATCTAGAAGACATTTCCCGCACTCAAGGCACTAATACACCTCGAGGGTTGTGTAGGATCCCTGATGTACAGGAAGACAGGATTTCAGTGAGGAACATTTCCCTCACTCAGGACAGGAAAGTGGCTTCTGCCGTGTGTGCAATAACTGATGTCTGCGAAGACTGGACTTCTCTGAAAAACATTTCCCGCACTCAGGACAGGAATTTGGCTTCTCCCCTGTGTGCCGTCTCTGATGTCTGTAAAGATGGCTCATCATTGGAAAACATTTCCCGCACTCATGACAGGAAAACGGCTTCTCTCCTGTGTGAGACCTCTGATGTCTGGTAAGATTGCTCTTCAATGAAAAACATTTCCCGCACTCATGACAGGAAAACGGCTTCTCCCCCGTGTGAGACCTCTGATGCCTGTAAAGGTTGTGCTTCCCCGAAAAACATTTCCCACACTCAGCACAGGAATACGGCTTCTCCTCCGTGTGAGACCTCTGATGTCTGTCAAGATCTGATTTTTGTGCAAAACATTTCCCACACTCAGAACAGAAATACGGCTTCAAACCCGTGTGCATTCTCAGATGTGTGGAAAGAGCGGACTTTACCGAAAAACATTTCCCGCACTCAGGACAGGAATACGGCTTCACCTCCGTGTGAGACCTCTGATGTCTGACAAGGTCTGATTTTTGTACAAAACATTTTCCGCACTCAGAACAGACAAACGGCTTCACACCCATGTGCAATTGCAGATGTGTGGAAAGAGTGGACGTCTGGGAAAAATATTTCCCGCACTCGGGACAGTAAAACGGCTTCTCCCCCGTGTGAGATTTCTGATGTCTGACAAGTTTTGAATTGTCTACAAAACGTTTCCCGCACTCAGGACAGGAATACGGCTTCTCCCCCGTGTGTACACTCTGATGTCTGTAAAGATTGGGCTTCCTTGAAAAACATTTCCCGCACTCAGAGCAAGAATACGGCTTCTCCCCCATGTGCAGTCTTTGATGATTGTAAAGATTGGACTTGTTTGAAAAATATTTTCCGCATTTAGCACAGGAGGGCCTCTTGTCCGTTGGAAGGATGGCCCCGCCCCCCACAGTCTGAGGTTCCTCCAGAGAAGAGGAAATCGATGGTCCATCTACACTGTGTGGTTTTGGATGGACTGAAAGACAAAAAGAAGATTACTAGACAGGAGCTGATTGGTTCCCCCAAACCAGGACTCCGCCAACATCAGGCAGCTCGGTCTCTGAGGAACTTCCAATTCCACCCTCAAGGGAACTAGGAAATGGCTTCTCTGATCTCCTGCCAGGTCATTTCTTTATTTATGGACCTTAGTCAGAGAGTGAGGAAACAACCAGAACTGTCTTTTATAGGAGGGACAGTGATGAGGGGATTATAGGACGAGGGAGTATATAGTGCAGGGGTCAGGAGTATGTAATGTACAACATAGAGTATATAGTGCAGGGGCAGGAGTATATAATGTACAACATAGAGTATATAGTGCAGGGGTCAGGAGTATGTAATGTACAACATAGAGTATATAGTGCAGGGGCAGGAGTATATAATGTACAACATAGAGTATATAGTGCAGGGGTCAGGAGTATGTAATGTACAACATAGAGTATATAGTGCAGGGGCAGGAGTATATAATGTACAACATAGAGTATATAGTGCAGGGGTCAGGAGTATGTAATGTACAACAGAGTATATAGTGCAGGGGTCAGGAGTATATAATTCCTAGATTGTAAGCTCGAAAGAGTAGGGCCCCTAACCCCTTGTGTACTGTTGTTGTTGCTGTTCTGTTTCTTGTAATGTCCCCCCCTCTATTGTACAGCGCTGAGTAAACCCTTTGGCGCTATATAAACTCGATGTAATAATAATAAATAATGTACAATATAGAGTATATAATGCATGGGTCAGGAGTATGTAATGTACAACATAGAGTGTATAGTGCAGGGGTCAGGAGTATGTAATGTACAGCATAGCTTATATGGTGCAGGGGTTGGGAATGTGTAGTGTACAACAGAGTATATAGTGCAAGGGTCAGAAGTAGGTAATGCACAACATTGAGTAAAGGTGCATGTAATGTACAATAAATAATATAATGCAGGGGTCAGGAGTATATAATGTACAACATAAATTATAAGGTGTAGCGGTTAGGAGTATGTAATGTATAACACAGAGTATAAGTTGTAGGGGTCAGGGGCATGTTATGGACAACATAGAGTATATAGTGCAGGGGTCAAGAGTATATAATGTACAACATAGATTATATGGTGCAGGGGTTAGGAGTATGTAACGTACAGCACAGAGTACATGGTGCATGGGTCAGGACTAAGTCATGTGTGACAAAGTATATAGCACAGTGGTCAGTGATATGTAATGTGTAATATATTATTAATATATAAAATATAATATTAATGGCCCACCTGTGCAGATCTCTGTAGGAATGTCCTGCTCTATAAATGTCCCTGTTATTCCATCCTGATCCTCCATCATGACGTCCTTGTAGAGGTCCTTGTGTCCTTCTAAATACTCCCACTCCTCCATGGAGAAATAGACAGTGACACCCTGACACCTTATAGGAACCTGACACACACAATGATACAGTCACCATCCAGACATCCCTTGTCTGTTACTGGAGAATGTCCCAGAATTCCCGGCAACGCTCACCTCTCCTGTCAGCAGCAGCTCTATCATCATCTTGGTGACTTCTAGAATCTTCTCTCTTGTAGGGATCAGGGATGGAGGTGGGGGGATGGTGATGGGATTCTGGATTCTTGAGGATCTTCTGGTAATACGATGAGATCTCCTTTTGGTCTCATTGTCGGTAGATTTCTTCATGACTCCTGTACAGTTCTGTTTGATACAAAGATAAATCTCACTCTCCCATCATCCCTCACCTCTATGGTCAGCTCTAGATGTGTCCTCCAGGGAATGGCCGCAATGTTCCTGATTCAGCAAAGGACGGACATCTCCATCCAATGATGGGACTACAATGGGGTTGGATTTATAGCTCCTTCTAGAAGTCCCATAATAGGGTCACTAATGATTTCCTAGTAAAGCTCACTGACGCACCAGTAGATGTTCCCCATGGATCAGATTTAACCCCTTCATTACACTCACCTCTCCAATCAGCAGGCTGAGGATCTCCAGGGCGAGGTTCAATATCTTCTTATTCCAGGGAACCTTCCTTATGATCTTCACAAAAGTGGAAGTCTGCTGATTGTCCATCATGACGTCCTTGTAGAGGTCCTTGTGTCCTTCTAAATACTCCCACTCCTCCATGGAGAAATAGACAGTGACATCCTGACACCTTATAGGAACCTGACACACACAATGATACAGTCACCATCCAGACACATCCCTTGTCTGTTACTGGAGAATATCCCAGAATTCCCAGCACCGCTCACCTCTCCTGTCAGCAGCTCCATCATCTTCTGGGTGACTTCCAGAATCTTCTGCATGTTGTGTCTCTCAGGGTTTAGGGAGTCACATGGAGGCACTGTGATGGTCATATGATCACCTGACTTCAGAAGAGGAAATCTCTGTATGGAGGAACCAATAGGAACATCATGTTAGACTCCCAGAATCCTCCTCACCTTCTCGGTCAGGTCTGTGTTTTATTAATAGAGATCAGAGTGATGTCATGTGACCTCCCAGAGTCCTCCTCACCTCTCTGGTCAGGTCTGTGTTTTATTAATAGAGATAAGAATGATGTCATGTAACCTCCCAGAATCCTCCTCACCTCTCCGGTCAGGTCTGTGTTTTATTAATAGAGATGAGAGTGATGTCATGTGACCTCCCAGAATCCTCCTCACCTCTCCGGTCAGGTCTGTGTGTTAATAATAGAGATGAGAGTGATGTCATGTGACCTCCCAGAATCCTCCTCACCTCTCCGGTCAGCAGGTAGATGATCTCCAGGGTGAGGTTTAGTATCTTCTCAGTCATGTGACTCCAGTCCTCCTCCATCCTCATTGGTGCCATCATGTGATCTATACAGGTCTCCTTGTAGACGGATAACTTTGGGAAATGACAGTAAGAATGATTTGGATGGTATCGGTCATACAATAATAGGATGTGGATGTGAGGGGGAATAGGAGGGTTGCTGGACATTTAAGAACTACAGACCCCATGTGAACACATTTAGTTTTCACTTTTTAGTGTTTACTACATTTTCATGAACTCAGAACCCTCTTGGCCTGCCAGATCAGAAATGTCCTTTTCTCTGTTGGGTTTGTTTGGTTTCTAAACTGGTTTTGATTAATTTTTTAGATCTGCAGATAAGGAATAATAACTATGATCCTTCTTTTGATTTGTTTGCTCTGAGGCAGTGCTGTGAGGTCAATGTAGCGTCATCATGATGTCCAGGAAGGGGAACTTGCTGACTTTTGCCAGCTAATCAATGGGTTCCTCTGAATTCCAGCCCTGGGCACTACCAGACCCTGCTTCATGAGAAGGTATTGAACTGCCTCTCTCAGATGCATTCCACCGACCCCAGGCCACCTATGAGGCAAACAGAGGGTGAAAGACTTCCCTTCAACATTCCACTTGGTATCCTGGAACACCTCATTTGACCAGTGAGATGATAAGAAGGTGAAGGTAGCCTTCCTTTCCTGGCAGGAGTTTTGTAAGGAGGGCTGAAAAGTGCAGGTTGGAGGACCATCATAGACCAAGAGCACCTTCCCTACTTTAGAACCTCCCTGAGCCCTACAGCCTTCTCTTACCTTAGATCCCTGTTGGCCACTATCAAGGGCCTAGTCCCGGCTACAATACCCTCCTTAGAATCCTTTAGCGCCGTACAACCCTACTACTCCCTTGGGGGCCCTAAAGTCCTTCAGCTTCAGTGACCCTCTCAGAGTTCCCTCTGCTTCACTACTTCCCTCAAAACCCTTAGTATCTTCCTCCCGCTGACCCCAATGATGGAACATATTCTTCATGGCAGGTTGGGGAATGTTTTCTTCCTCCCGACCAGCAATGCAAGGGGCTCTATACTCCTGACCCCGGCACTCCATCATTGTGTGGAAGAGGACGGGCAGGACAGTGGCGGAAGAGGACGGGCAGGGCGGTGGCGGAAGAGGATGGGCAGGACGATGGAGGAAGAGGACGGACGGACACGACGGTGGCGGAAGAGGACGGACACGACGGTGGCGGAAGAGGACGGACACGACGGTGGCGGAAGAGGACGGACACGACGGTGGCAGAAGAGGACGGGCAGGATGATGGCAGAAGAGGACGGGCAGGACGATGGAGGAAGAGGACCGGCACGACGGTGGCGGAAGAGGACAGGCAGGACAGTGGCGGAAGAGGACAGGCAGGACGGTGGCGGAAGAGAACGGGCAGTATGATGGCGGGGTGGATGTACTAGGAGGTTGGATATGTACTAGAAGGGGGGCTTAGGGGGGATATGTACTAAGAGGGAAGATTGGGGGGGGGGGATATGTACTAGGAGGGAAGATTGGGCGGTATGTACTAGGATGTGGGATATGTACTAGGAGGGGAGATTGGGGGGTGTACTAGGAGGTGGGATATGTACTAGGAGGGGAGATTGGGGGGGATGTGTACTAGGAGGGGAGATTGGGGGGGATGTGTACTAGGAGGTGGGATATGTACCAGGAGGGAAGATTGGGGGTTATGTACTAGGAGGGGAGATAAATAAACATTCTTCATTTCCAGCATTTTTTCAGACCTGCCTAAAGCAACACATGCACACGCTACCTAAACTTCCTAGCGAATGAGCAATAGGCAGTATGATGGCGGAAGAGGACGGGCAGGACGATGGAGGAAGAAAACGGGCACGACGGTGGCGGAAGAGGACGGGCATGACGGTGGCGGAAGAGGACGGGCACGACGGTGGCGGAAGAGGACGGGCAGGACGATGGCGGAAGAGGACGGGCACGACATTGGGGAAGAGGACGGGCACGACGGGCACGCTGGCGGAAAAGGACAGATGGGACAGTGGAGGAAGAGGACGGCCATGACAGAGGTTACTGGATGTAAATAGAAAATAATATCTTATTACCTCCTCTGCTGCCAGTTCCAGCAAT